TATTTTATCTGTATTGGTTGTATGTAGGGTACTGCTGTTTATACTTCCCAAGCTCAATCTCAGCCTCTTTTTGCCATGGGTAATATTTAATATTCTGCGCAACTTTTTACGAAAATGCATTATCTCATTTATTTTTATTTCATATTTTATTTTGTTTATATTGGTTGTATTTAGGGTCATAGTGTCTATATTTCTCAACCTCAGCCTCCTTTTCTCATGGGTGGTACAAGCGTTCCTCCTCTTATGTATCCTACATATGATATGAGTTAGAATTGATAACTTACTTTACATTGAAAGGGTACTATACATTGTAATAAAATTTTAATAAATTTAGCACTATTGCAGAGAAATAACACGCCTTAGTCACCTTTTGTCTATTCCACTCACACATTCTTTCAAGTACAAGTGTTCAACACTTTGCAGTCCAAGTCTCGCAAACCTCACATAGTTCTACTGGCAGTCATGTAGATAGACATCTCTTAAAGGCTTGCACTGAAAGATGATGTTGTTGATGACAATTGTAGATAGACATCTCTTAAAGGCTTGCACTGAAAGATGATGTTGTTGATGACAATTGAAAGTTGCTATTCAGACCAGAATGTTCATATATTTGTTGCTTTTCAATTATGTTTTATGGAAGAATGTTTATTTGCTTCTTAAACTTCTTAGAGATTAAACTTCTTGGATAATTTTGTCACTGTGGTGTAATCATGCAACTATAATCTTGTATTGTTCTTAGACATTAAACTTGTTGGATAATTTTGTCACTATGGTGTCATCTTGCAACTATAATGTTGTATTGTTTGAGGAACTTGTTAATGGAGTGGGGATTTTTTGGTACATATGGGAATTTTGATTATAATGTTGTCGGTGTTATTTGTTAATGAAGTGGGAATTTTTTGCATAATTCAATCACTTTCTTTGTTAATGAAGGTTCTATATGGAAAGATTAGTTTTAGTGGTAGAGACAGATTAGATGTTACTGAATTATTTGAAAGTGATTGAATTATTTGTTAATGAAGGTTCTATATGGAAAGATTAGTTGTTACTCTTTAGTGGTAGAGACAGATTCACTCTTGTTTCTTCATAAACTCAAGAGCTTCATGAAGCCTCCCTAGATAGCAGTAAGACTAGATAATCAAGCGCCATTGCCATAGCTTGAGGAAAGGGGGGTTTCGGACATCAGAACTGTCCAAATTTGTTATGTGACCATTAGCACTTACTATTGCAGAACAGTTCATCTCAGTAGAACCAAGAGTCTGCTTAAACAATTGAATCATCTCGTCATATTTTCGTAGTTGTTTACTGAAACTAATGATAATTAAAATTACCATAGAAAATAAAAAAGAAAACAAAAACAAAGAAACAAATTTTTTTTTAACACAAACCATAAATAATTTCATTAATTAAGCGTAGTGCAAAATTAAATGTACATTTCAAAACCCATAGTATAAGCTTTATTAGATTCACAAACTAAATACAAATAACAAGCACGTGGTTACATTCACTTGAGTAGCACCATTAGCATGGTAAAACCAACCAACGCTATGGTTGTAAACATAATCAATCTCACAGCTCCTTGGTTTGCCTCAAGTCGTTCCAATCTAATTAGAACTTCATTGTTTCTCTCAAAATCATAATCATAACCTCTCTCATCTTCATTCTTTGTATGAATCGTTTTACTTCTCCTTTGGATATTTGATGCATTCCCTATAGTAAGAGCCGCTCCCTACGTGAAGTATTCGTACATCTGATCTACACACTTGAGATAAAGCCTCCTTGGATTTTTCTTTGATTCTGATATCTTAATTGTTGTTTCCCCCTCCCCCCTCCCCCCCACATTTGCGTCATTTATTTTGAAAAAATTCAGCATCATTGCTTGAACCAGTGAAAGTATAGCCCATTGACATGTTAATCCTAATAAGAGCATTTTATTAAACAATCAGTTTATCACAGCTAAACACAAAATTCAAACAAAGACCTAATTTTGTTTATTCTATCATACTGATATAAGAAAGTAAAAGCAAAGTCAATTTTCAATTATCCTACTACAAAGTCACCAAGCATACATCCCCCACAAAATTTCATTATTCTTTTCCATTTTTGCTTTAGAGTTTCAATGTTATATAAACCATTAAAATCAAAAAATCATATCACTTAAACAGATAAAATGGCTAGTTCACCTTTCTGTGGCAAAAAATGGAGCTTTTAATTCCATTGCAATCCCTGTTAAGCATTTCAGCCAATATCTGAAATCCAAATATTTTCCTATAATTGATTCTGGAACCTAATGTTTTCTTTTGAGCCAAACTTGTCTCTTCATCCTATGCTTAATTGAGTGGATGGAGACAGTGGCAGGATGTGCTGCATTGCACTATATAGTTTACCAACTTAATACAATGCACATGAATCTTATAAGTTAAAATGGTTACAACAAAGAATAGGCACCAGCAAAGGCCTAATCTAATGATCAAATAATTAGAACATATTTTTGCTTCAAAATTTCAACTTTATATAAACCAATAAAACCCAATAAATCAAATAACCACAAATGATAAGTTTGAAAGATTGATGAATTTGAATAATAAGTTAATTTAAAAAGGTAATAACTTGTTTCAAAACATATTTTAGTTTCAATGAATCACAAATTTTTGCTTCAAATCAACAACAAATCTAAGCAAAACAATCCACAACAAAAAGCCCTATTTTTTTTTATTTTTTTTTTGGGTGGGTAACCTTTTTTCTTCTTTTTATATCTCGGGAAAAATTTATTTTCCTTTCGGGCTGAGAGAGAGAGAGAGAGAGAGAGAGAGAGGGGAGGGAGGGAGGAAGGAAGGCTCATTGTTTGTTTTTGTTTCCTAAAAAAATCTTTTTTTTTTTTTCGTTCTACATTTTCTGATTAAAATCGGAAAAAAAAAAAAAAACCACAACAAGCCCTAAATCATCAAATCCATAAAACTCAAGAAATCAAATCACTTATCAAACCCATTTAAGAAATTAACAACAAATCTAACCCAAGAAATCATTTGTATATATATATATATATATATCAGGAACAAATGAGAATGAAGATGAAAGGGACCTCGTCGCCGCCTCCCATCACCTCACAGTTGGAGTCACGTCGGCCGCCCTCCTCTAAGTTTCGTCTTCGAAAAAGACGTCGTTTTGTCCCACTGCAAAAACCATGGTAGGAAACCACGACAGAGGATTCAGACTCACTCATGAAATATTGATTTTCCCAACTAGTTCTTTTAGCATGATCTATGTTTTTTTTTTTTTTATCGGCAAAGAAAACTTTATTGATGGACGTACAAAGTAAAATGGAAGACATCAATAAAGAGAAGCTTAGAACTAGAACAAGCTCCAACCTCCTAGTTGGTGAGAAACCAACAAATAGAGAAAAAAAACAACAACAGAACAAATCAAAAAAACCAAGACTATGCAGCCCCGAAGACATCTTTGCACAGAGACCAAAAGCTCCCAGCAACACCTTTGTTCAAACTCCAAAATGAAGATAGCAGGGCTTAACATCACACAACAATCACACAGCAATCACAGATCAAACCAGATTAAATAGCCCCAAAAACCTTTGAGAGCAAAGGAACCAGAGAACAACCAAAAACAAGACACCCAGAATACAACCAAACCACTGAATACATTCTCATGTTTCTGCAAGGGACTTGAATAGGAGCACTTGATTAGGAACATATTGTCCATCACAGCAGAATGAAGCACACCAAAAGCTAAAGTCTACCGGCTTCTACCAGAATGAACAAGACAAATCAGCAGAGCAGACTAGCAGATCAGAACAACCAACACTTCGTCTTCCTGTTACCTTCTCTGTTCATCTCTCTTAAAGATGGAAAAGAGGTTGAAAAGCAAAAAGGGAAAGAAAAAAAAAAAAGACGTCGTTTTGTCCTACTGCAAAAACCATGGTAGGAAACCACGACAGAGGATTCGGACTCACTCATGAAATATTGATTTTCCCAACTAATTCTTTTAGCATGATCTATGTTTTTTTTTTTTTTTATCGGCAAAGAAAACTTTATTGATGGACGTACAAAGTAAAATGGAAGACATCAATAAAGAGAAATTTGGAACTAGAACAAGCTCCAACCTCCTAGTTGGTGAGAAACCAACAAATAGAGAAAAAAAACAACAACAGAACAAATCAAAAAAACCAAGACTATGCAGCCCCGAATACATCTTTGCACAGAAACCAAAAGCTCCCAGCAACACCTTTGTTCAAACTCCAAAATGGAGATAGCAGGGCTTAACATCACACAACAATCACACAGCAATCACAGATCAAACCAGATTAAATAGCCCCAAAAACCTTTGAGAGCAAAGGAACCAGAGAACAACCAAAAACAAGACACCCAGAATACAACCAAACCACTGAATACATTCTCATGTTTCTGCAAGGGACTTGAATAGGAGCACTTGATTAGGAACATATTGTCCATTACAGCAGAATGAAGCACACCAAAAGCTAAAGTCTACCGGCTTCTACCAGAATGAACAAGACAGATCAGCAGAGCAGACTAGCAGATCAGAACAACCAACATAATATATCTCCAGATCAATAGGCAAAGCCCATCTCAGACTGCACACAAAAGCAGACCAGGTGCAAGCATCTCCTAAATTGAAGCATCACCTCAGACTAGCATCAGATCCGTTGAAGCAGATTAACAGACCAGATGAAGTAGACTAACAGAGCAGATCAGTTGAAGCAGATTAACAAAACAGAAGAAGCAGATTAATAAATTAGTTGAACCAGATCAGATGAAGCAGATTAACAGATTAGTTGAAGCAGATTAACAGATCAACTCAGATGAAGCAGATTAATAGCACAGCAGCAACCACCACCCCTAATTCCACACACCTACCTCACTGCCCTCACCACGCTCACTAAGTAGCATCATGAAACACCCATGGATCCACCTCCCAAGCAAAATCTAATGTGCTCCAAATTAAAAATGAAATCATGCACAGAGAACCTGCAATCCTTAAATACCTCCTTAAACCAGACATCCATTCTAACCTTAATCAGATCAGAAACACCCTCTCCACTTGGGGAAACATCTCGAAATAAGCAGTCATTGCGATGGTTCCATAGAGACCACATAACAACCATAAGAAGAGCTTTCTACATCATCCTTATATTTTTCCTAAACCTCCAGTCAAGAACAACCTCCACTGAATTTGGCAAAGCACCTTGGACATCCCACCACTTTAGCATTGCAGACCACACACTCCAAGCCACTTGGCATGATAATAACACATGGTTAAGTGACTTAACCCCTGATTTGCACAGGCAGCATACTGAGGATGAATTAGCATGCATTACACCAATTTTGGTAAGAAACTCTGTAGTCTTTAATTTTCCTTTCCAAGCAAGCCATCCAAAAAATTGAACTCTAGGTGGAATGTGTTTTACCCAAATCCTTTTACTAATTAGACTGAAGTTGCCAAAACCATCTGCTATAAATCTAGACACTGATTCAACTGAAAAACTCCCTGTTTTTGAAGCAATCCAAACTAGCGTATCTTCTTCAGAGTTCCTAATAACGGTGCCTGCCTCTAGCTGGTTTTTCAATCTGATTGCCTCCATACTTTCCCAATCATACAATTTCCTTTTAAACTGGAACACCCACTCACCAGCATCTTCATTCCTTTCCAGCATAGTAGCTAGAGTCTCGCCCTTTTCACCTGCCAACCTATACAAGAGTGGGAATTCATCTTTGAGACATAAGTTGTCACACCATTTATCCACCCAAAACTTAACTCTATGGCCATTCCCCACTTTCACCTTACAGTTATTCAGGAAGAACTCCACCAGATTGCCACTCTGTTCAGATCCTGATAATATGTCCCTCCACATTTTAGAAAACCTGCTAATGAGGTTAATCGGAGGGCTCCAACTCCCCTCCTCCAACCTATATTTGCTACAAATGACTCTCTTCCACAAAGCTTTGTTCTCAACCCCAAACCTCCACCTCCATTTCAACAAAAGGCAATCATTAATCTCCTTAACTCTCTTAACCCCCAAACCCCCTTGCTCCACTAGTTTAGCTACTTCCTTCCATTTTATTAAGTGAACCTTCCTCTTCAATTCAGATCCACCCCAGAGGAAAGAAGCCTGAATCTTGTCCAGGTCTCTGGCTACCCCTTGAGGCGATTTATACAATGACAAATAGTAAATGGGCAGAGAGGACAGAACAGATTTAATTAAAGTAAGTCTCTCAACAAATGAAAGTAATTTTCTTTTCCAGCCTACTAATTTACTTCTAAACTTGTCCAATACAGGTCTCCATGTTGCTTTCCTACTTAGGTTAGCACCCAAAGGGAGTCCAAGGTACTGAAATGGTAGAGTTCTTACTTTACAATTTAACACTGAAGCAAACTCAAACATCTCCTCATAACTATACTTTTGTGGTAGTTTATCTTCAGACCTGAAAGCATCTCAAAACACCTCATAATCTTCTTAAGATTTCGCACTTCCCGAACATTGGCTTCACATAGTATTAGTGAATCATCTGTAAATTGAAGGTGAGTAAGATCCAACCCACCTGAGCCAATCTTCACCCATTTTATTAGCCCCAAATCCAAAGCTCTTGACAGTAAAATGCTCAATCCCTCTGTAGCTATATTAAACGAGAAGGGAGACGGGGAATCCCCTTGTCTAAGTCCTCTTTGTGGACTGAATTCCTCAGTAGGAGCTCCATTGACAAGCACTGATAATCTCACAGAAGTTATGCACACCCTAATCCACTCCACCCATATTCCTCCAAACCCAAAATTTTTCATCATTGAGAACAGAAACTCCCAATTCATTGTGTCATAAGCTTTCTCAAAATCAAGCTTTAAGATCAAACCTTTCTTCCTAGATTTCTTCCAACTATCCACAACCTCATTAGCCACCAACATACCATCTAGAATGTTCCTTCCTCCAATAAATGCGGATTGATTCTCACTAATAATCTGAGGGATGACTGCTTTCAACCTTGAGGATAAAACCTTTGTGAGGATTTTATACAATGACCCAACCAAACTGATAGGTCTGTAATCAGCTAAACCCATAGGATTCTCCTTCTTAGGGACCAAAGTAATGAATGAACTGTTTATCCCTCTAACCAGCTTACTGTTTTTATGGAATTCAGCCATGAAAGAAAGCACATCAGACTTCATTACCTTCCACAATTTCTGAAAGCATGCCAAGTTAAACCCATCTGGGCCTGGAGCCCTGTTACCATCACAACCCTTAACAACACTCCATATCTCTTCCTCAGAAAATTCTGCTTCCAATAAATCAATATAGGGGCTTTCCCTCACTAACTGGAAAGGTCCCTCCAATATAGGCCTACACTTCAATTCCTTAGTAAATTGTTTTTGAAAATGAGCTTGGACCTCTTGCATAACTTTGCATGGATCATCAAATACCACATCCCCAATGGTTAAAGAGTTAATTTCATTTCTCCCCTGTCTACAGTTAACTATCACATGAAAATACCTTGTGTTTTTATCTCCATTCAAATTCCAGTTGAGTCTTGACTTTTGTAACCATAACCAGTCCACCATTTTAGTTAACCTGCAAGCTTCGGCTCTAGCCTCCCTTCTTCTAGCTTTTTCTTCCTCTTCAAACTCCCTTTCTTCTGCTACCAGATCAAACATATGAAGTTCATCCTCTACTTGCTTCAACTTAGTATTCACATTACCAAAAACTTCGCTATTCCACTGTTGAAGTGCTATTTTCAACCTTTTCAGCTTCTGAAATAATGTAAAACCAGCTCATTCCTTCACCTGCTGCTCCCTCCACCACTTTTCCACAAAAGGTAGGAAATTAGTATGTAGAGTCCAGGCATTTATAAACCTAAAGGGTCTAGGGCTCCAATCTCTCTCATCTTCCATTAAAAGTAGAAGGCTATGATCAGACATAACTCTAGGTAACCCCCACAACTTCAGATTGAATGATTCCAACCATTTTGGATCCACTAAAACCCTATCAATTCTGCTTCATTTCTCCCATTCCTTGGCATTACACCATGTATACCTTCTACCCAATAAGGGCAAGTCATTCACCTCACTTTTATCAATAAAATCATTCAATTCCTTCATACCCTTCTCCCTCCTAGAACAGCCTTTCCTCTCTCCAATATTTGTAATTTCATTAAAGTCCCCCCTATACACCAGGGATTAGAAAACTCCTCCTTTAGCTTCAAAAGACACTCCCACAGTTTCCCTCTTTGACCCACTTCATTGGGTGCATACAAATTAATTAAGACACATTCAAAGGAGAATAATAAAGTACCTGAGAGAAGAATGAATCTTCTATTACAACAGCAACTTAATACTTGAAACACACCTGGATCCCATATGCATAATAGGCCACTAGCAGATCCTTCAGCATCCACAGTCATGAATTATAACCTATCCCTAGCCCAGAGTTCCTTAATCTTCTTTTCTGACAAAGATGCCTTCTTTGTTTCCTAGAATAGAGCACTATCAACTCCTCTAGCTTTCAACATACACTTAATTTTATTCCTTTTTTCCTTTCTTCCCAAACCCCTCACATTCCATGTTAGTAGCTTAATCATTTATCAAAAACACTCACCTCTGACCCCCAGATGCTACACTTTAAGCTGCAGTACCGAAATCCCCTCCCATTCTTTCTCTATCCTTTGCCTCAAGATCCATAATTCTGGACAATACTACCTCTTCATTACCTTTATAGTTAACTCCTAGCAATTTCCCCATTTGTAGAGTTTCATTAGCCTCTTTAAGCAAAGTTTTGTTTCTGGCCACTCCACTAACATTTGATGCTGAACCAGAAGCTGCCACAGCTGCTGCTCTCCAAATTGCCCCTTTTGGACCCAATTTACTTGATGAAGCTCCTTTATGACCACCTCTTTTTGCAAGCTCAAGATAGCCCTTCTTCATCTCTTTAATTTTCTTCCCACTAGAGTTTTTAACTACTCTTTTCCTCTCTTTCTTCTTCTGAAACTCTGAACTTAAGCGTGCTGCGACACCCTGGGTCTGTGATACATCTGAACATATTATTAAAGGGCCTACTACATTTTGAAACCCACTCTGGAAACCAGACTTCAGGCCTTGGGCTTGCACCTCCACCCCTTTCCTCATATTTTCAAGCCCATTTCTTAAGCCCACCTCATTACCCAAACCCAACTCCACCTCTAAATCCACCCCAGGTTTAAGTAAACTAAAGCCACTTAAACTTCTGACAACACCATGCGTGACAACTTGCTCAAAACTTTTTTGACCTACCCACTCACAGCCGTTGCTTATGTTCCCAGCTGCCTTCATCATGCTTCCTATTTTCCCCTCGAGCACATTATCAGCCGACTCTGCCACCACTGTTTCAGAACACCCAGGTAGCTCCCTATCCACCGCATCATTGCTCCTTACTTAACATGACCCATCCCTTTGAAACTCATTTGCCTGGTCAAGCTCTTGTGCTGACTCATCAGCCCCGTCATCATCTTCTACAGCCTTATCACTTACAATTTCCTTCACCCCGATCTTCTCACCATTGTTTGTGCTACAGACCTCTTCCCCACCATACTTCTTTGTACAATCACACCTCACTGCCATGATATTTGGTAACCCAGATTGAGGTTCCCACACTCTTACAGACTGGAATGAACCTTTGCATTCCAGGTTAATGGCTTTATTTATTGGCCCCATACACCTGGTTATAATCTGGATCTTAACACATTCAAACGATGCCGGGTTGTAGAGATCACCCTCAATATAAATAACCTCCCCCCAAATATTTCCAATTCTATTTAAAGTTGTTCTATTCCAAAGATTCCATGGTATACCATAGCAACATAACCACACCTTGCGTTCTTTGATTCTAACAAGGTCATGTTTCCACTCCACTATTTCCTCACACCAATCCTCTAACCACTCCTTTACGGTCCCCATACTAGCTTCCCTACATTCCTTAGATGTGAATGTTAACAACACATCCGTACCCCATCCATCCCTGACTAATACATTCTCCATACCCCTCTTCTGAATTTCTTTTTGAATTTTAAGGTTGGCATATTCAGATTTAAGCCGAACCACCACACTATCATATAGCCACCCGTTTCCTATTTCCTCTGCCTCGATTGATACAATTCCTCCTCCCATGATGCTAGTGTTCTTAGTAACCTCTACATACGATCAGAATCTTACTGTTGGCTTCCAAACATTGCTTACACCCTTTCCACTATATAGAGGACCATTTGGTTTAGGTTGGTATCGGATTTTGTCTTCCAGAGCTTCCTTGCCATAATCCGCATGCTTCACTACCAGTTGTTTATCCTCAACCCATAACCTATTCGCCTTTTTCACAGCTACTTCTGCTGCAACTTCACAGTAATAGCGGACAAAAGCAAATCTAGTATTCCTCACTTTCCTTCTCTTCTGAGGGATGTAGACATCCTTTACCACACCAAACTTCCTGAAAATGTCAACCATCATCTTCGAACTCATTGATCTGGGCAGATCGTCGACAAATATTGTGAATAGTTTTGCATTGGCTTTCTTACTCCATCATTTTTTGCCTTTCTGACTCAGTACAGGGATCTAACCACCTTCCATTGATACTCTAATCACTATGATATTTAGCATGATCTATGTGCATATATAGCTAGCATTTAGCCAAGCAAAAACTATAAATTAGTTACAAGATGTTTATAGAACTCAAATTTTATTGCGATAAAAATAAAAATAAAAATGAAAAAATTGTAATTTGAGATATTGGTGGATTCTAAATAAATAGGTTATTCTTTATCTAGTGCTTTCCAATTAGCTACAGTTGGATCAATTCGTGACTCGTTCTATGAATTTTAATAGAGATTGAGACCTAAAAAGAAAGACAATAATCACAACCTAAATGACCAAAGTATAAGACAAAGTGAAGTGAAGAAGCTCAAAGCTAGGGCTGCAAATGAATCGAGCCGAGCCGAGCTTTGCTGAGCTCGAGCTTGGCTCGTTTACTTATTAAGCTCGTTTATTGAGCTCGAGCTCGGCTCGATAAGGAGCTGGGCTCGAGCTCGAGCTCTGCTCGGCTCGTTAATTTTAATGAAACTCGAGCTCGGCTCGATAATTTTTTTTAATATTATTTATATTATTTAATATATAAAAAATGTATTTATATTATTATTTATATGTATTTATATATATTTATATATTATTTAATATATAAATAATATATTTATTATAGAATTTAGATAAAGATAAACGAGCCGAGCCTAACGAGCCAAGCTTATGCGAACTCGAGCTCGGCTCGTTTAGCTCGTTTATTAAATGAGCCTAATATTCGAGCTCGAGCTCGGCTCGTTTAGTAAACGAGACGAGCTGAGCCGAGCCTTTAACGAGCCGAGCTGAGCTTGTTCATGAACAGATCGGTTTATTTGCAGCCCTACTCAAAGCTATAGTGCCTATGTGAGCACGTGCACAGGTCGTGGTGAACTAGGTCACACACCAATGTGTATACTATCCATGTGAGCCCAGGTGCAGGGTCTTGTGCGCTCGAGCGTACACCCTACAGAAGAGAGCTCTGAGTGACCTTAGGCACAGGTCATGGTGAGCTCGAGAACATGAGGTACGAATCTAGTATGTTAACTCATGCACCAGAATATGATGTATGAAATTGGCGTGAAATAATGATAAAGTGGACTTTCTTATTTTGCTTATTTTATTAAAATTTGTGATATTTTGGTGACAAATAAACTAATTGATTATAAAATTTTTCTAATATAGAGATTAACCGTTTAAAAAGAAAAAAAGAAATCTGAGTCATATGGGACTTTGATTTTCTTTCTTTTCTTATACATTCAAACATGATAGTAAAAAAATACAATCATTTTTTTTTTTGCCACTCATATAAAAAACTACAACCATTTTTTTTGGATAAATTACAATTACATCTCTTGAGATTCCTGACAATTAGACTAGCCTCCCTTATTTTTCTGAAATTACACTGACGTTTCCTGTGACTAATGACATTAATGGAATGGTTAGTTTAGTTATTTTAAAATTAGAGATATTTTTATTGATAATCATTAAATGTCGATTACTATTTTGATTATATCTTATATGATATTTGGTTATAACTTACTTTTTTTAGTTATGACTCAAAAAATCTTGAAAAATTTACTAATAAATCCGATATTGAGAAATGGTGACTCCATGTGAGTATTTACAAAAAATTATTTAATACTACTCAAATAAATACATGTGGTATTCCAATTTGATTTTTATTAAGAATTATGTTAGGAACTCCAAATAAATTATCAAATTTTCTACCAAACCTCTCACATGGGTGTGGGACCCACACACATGTGATTTGTGTGGGTCCCACCCTCATGTGAGAGATTTAGTAGAAAATTTAGTAATTTATTTGGGATCTATAACATTTTCTTTTTAGTAGTTTAGATATTGAGACTCATTAATTTTATCTTATTTTTTAGAAAACAACTGAACTGTATGATATCAATTATTAATTAAAAAAGTACCAAATAACTTATCTTATATTTATGAATTATTTTTTTATTTTTTAAAATTATTTTATTCATAACAATAGGTTATTCTAGAATACACACAATTTTATGTGTACTAATATACAAGTTATAACATTTCAGAAGTTGATTACCACAAATGTCATAACTCAGTGTTATATATATATATATATAACTAATATACAAGTTATAACATTTCAGAAGTTGATTACCACAAATGTCATAACTCAGTGTTATATATATATATATATATAATTTATTACTCTACATACATACATACAAGGTTTTTGTATTTCTCACTTGGATTCAATGATTCATACTAATTTGTTAACCTAAAAAATTATTAATTGATTTCTTTCATCACTTCAAATGTTATATGTACAAATCAAATTGAAATTCTTTATGTGCTAGTCTAACAATTAAATAATAACTTCTGCACTAAAAAAAAAAAAAAGGAACCGTTAGTGAAACTAATGGCTAACTAATGGATTGGGAGAATATGCAAATCAAAAGTAAATTTTAAGGGAGGTTAATGTAATTTTTTTTTTTTAAAAGGGGGAAGCTAGTGTAATTGTGAAAAATCTCAAAGGAGCTGAGCGTAATTTACCCTATTAATTTATTTTTTCATCTCCTATGCGAAACTGACGGTAAATATTTAGCAAAATGATGTAAAGAGGAGAAGGGGATGCTGTCCAACTTGAATTTGTTTTTTTTATTTTTTTTAAAGAACATGAACAGAATGATAAAAGAAAGCAATAAATCAGTAAGTTTGTGGCTTCATGAACGAGTGCAAAAACAAATATTCAATACAAGCCATTGAGATTGAGAAGGATGGATTCTGAAGACAAATTAAACTGTTTTGGGCACTGTCATTTTTCAGGCCCCTA